CCACGACGCCGTCAGCAGCCTTTGCAAAGCGCGTTGCCAGCGACAGCAAAGCAGTCTCCGCTGACCCTGACTGCACCAGCTTGCAAGGCAGCATCAAATTTGCCTGGAGTACTTGGCATCTGTTAGGATTGCAATCCAACGCAGCCTGCTGGCTGCTTCAACTCAGGCAATTTGAAGATGGCCTTTGTTGCAATGCAAGGTGACCGCAGCTGACGTCTCCAGCCCCGAGATATCTGATATTTGCCTAAAGTATCTGCCGCATCCTTGCAATCGGACGCAGCAAGCTAGCTGCTTTAAATGCAGTGGTTGTGTGTGGCCTTGGTCTTAGTATGCTGTAGCCAGCTGATGTCTACAGTCAGCTCACGGTTGTACCTGCAACCACTCAGTGCTGACCCTGGCAGCACCAGCTTGCAAGGCAGCATCAAATTTGCCTGGAGTACTTGGCATCTGTTAGGATTGCAATCCAACGCAGCCTGCTGGCTGCTTCAACTCAGGCAATTTGAAGATGGCCTTTGTTGCAATGCAAGGTGACCGCAGCTGACGTCTCCACCCCCGAGATAGCTAATATTTCCTTCAAAGAGTCTGCCGCATCCTTGCAATTGGACGCAGCACGCTAGCTGCTTCAACTGCAGTGGTTGTGTGTGGCCTCGGTCTTAGCATGCTGTAACCAGCTGATGTCTACAGTCAGCTCACGGTTGTACCTGCAACCACTCTGTGCTGACCCTGGCAGCACCAGCTTGCAAGGCAGCATCAAATTTGCCTGGAGTACTTGGCATCTGTTAGGATTGCAATCCAACGCAGCCTGCTGGCTGCTTCAACTCAGGCAATTTGAAGGTGGCCTTTGTTGCAATGCAAGGCGGCCGCAGCTGACGTCTTCACCCCCGAGATAGCTGATATTTCCTTCAAAGAGTCTGCCGCATCCTTGCAATCGGACGCAGCAAGCCAGCTGCTTCAACTGCAGTGGTTGTGTGTGGCCTTGGTCTTAGTATGTCTTAGTATGCTGTAACCAGCTGATGTCTACAGTCAGCTCACGGTTGTACCTGCAACCACTCTGTGCTGACCCTGACTGCACCAGCTTGCTGGCTGATTCAACTCAAGCAATTTGCAGGCGGTGTTGCACTCGCCCGTGCTGACGGTTAAGTTGCGCCCGGAACGGGCGGCATTGAGATGAGAGGCTGTTGAAAATCGGCTTTAAAATCCGCTTCAGCTTCTCACCTGAAAATTGCAGCGTCGGATCGACGCACGTCCCATCTCAGAGCGGCCGAACCTCAGTTCGACACACGGGATCCGGTGCAACGCCCTGGAAAGTGAGAAAAGCTCGAAACTCCCTTCAGGGAACTATCCAGGCCTTCAAATGCTGCAAACACCGTAAAACTAAAGACACCTTGCTCAAATGTTCAACCCCTAGAATCCTGGAAGCATTCCCTGTTTCTGGCCTGCCTCAAACTGCAAACTGAGCACAGGTTCGACAAGGGGACGTGCTAAAAGGCGTCCATTGGATGCGTCCTACTGAATCATACCGCACTTCTTATCTCCATCGATCTCTGGCTTCTCTTGGCTTCTTCCTAAAACACTGTGTGCCTTGATCCCCCAGCATTCTAGAATGCCCTGAAGCAAGCTGGTTCTGATACACATTCCTGCAGGTTGGCTACTTAAACTTTGTATGTTGCTGTTGCCAGTTTAGAAGCTTTTGCGCTCGAAAGCGTGCTTTTGTCTCCGTCTTCTGGTGACCAGGTGTACTTTCTTTACTAGTCTGCGGCTCTGCTCAAAACATGAAAAGGTGCTCATAAGTGGCAGCTACATGGCTACGTGAGCAAAGCTGCTGAGTTGCGTGAAAAAAAAAACAGCGTTTGCTCAAATCAACGAACCACTCGGACTACATGTCAAAACAAACTAAGCGAACAAAACCCTTCGCCGAAACTGCCAATCACCCAACTTGCTCGATAGAACTGGTGCACACCAGCGTAATGGGCCCTGGCCCCTCTACTTCGGAAATGTTCCTTGCTTAGCGTCAGCTTTTGGCCTAGCATTGGCTCCCAGCGCCCTCTTATGGTGAGGTTTTTCACAGTAAGCTGGCATCTTGTTCCATGGCCCCACCATGCTGCATGGGGACACATTTTGGTGAAAAGTCTGAGCTGCCTTCAAGGTGTCAGTGTTTGCAGTGCTGCATGAAAGCATGATGGATGCACTCCTCATCTCAGGCGGGCCATATGCTTGACATGTCCCTGGTCACATTTTGGGCAGCGAAACTGCATCTTAGCTCAGTGTCAAGGAGAATGCCAAGGCAACTCTAAGTCCCCGGCGTTGGAATGCACAACTCCAATTCGAAGGGAACTTGCCCTTGGCTCTCCAACATGATCTTGCAACAGATCGGATATTGTCCGAGCACTGCACCGAGCCATGGGCCAGTCTATGGCCACTCATTGGCAGCCGGCCCCAGCCACAGCTCGGGTACCTAGCAAAAGGGCAAAAAGAAAACTGACAAAACAACCATGTGTCCAGCCGTCTTGACTAACACAGGGTGTGCCTGTTTTGATTGTGCCCTTTTGGGGCTGGGTGTAAAGGGAAACACGGGATTTCCACTCTTTCGCGCGTCTCCCCTTTTGAGACACACCCAAAATCGCAGTCCCATTGCCGATTGATTTTCACATCCGAGCTGCAAGGTCCGACATCTGAATCGCGTTGCCTGTTGGCCCCTCATTTGGCACCTTGGTCACAGATGCAGGCTGACATGCAACTCAATGAACATCCCGATATCCATGCCATGACACAACGCTTGGTCCGAAACAAAACTGCCATTGTAGATTCTTGCAAAGCCTGCGACTTGAACAACCTCAAAACAGCTTATGCCCTTCGTGCTGCGCTTGCACTCACAAACGCACACACACACACACACCCTTTGTTCAGGAACTCTCAGCGAGACTTACCTTGAAAAGCAGACTTGTAGCCTTGCGAATTGATCGTCACTGCTCTAGAGTGGTGGGCTTGAGGGGTTCAACAGTGGCCTTTCGAAACAACTTGGTTTCATGGCGCATCTGGTGAAATGCGCGGGCCCTTTATTTGGGGCAGGATCATGTCTGCACACTAGGATCTCTTTCGCGACGACAGGCGTAGTTCCAGACAAGCTGCGCAAGAGATAGGCAGCAAGGGCTCATCGAAAAGTGCACCAAGCTTGCCTCGGCTTTGACGTTTCTCTGGAATGAACATCTTCCCATCTCCAGTGCTCAGTGTTTATCTCGCCTCATGCTAGTTTACTCGTGGCCTGTCACCCATATTGCAGCTGAGTCGCACTGACATATGCGAGCGGCCAAGCATAGCGCAGTGGAGTCTCGCAGTGACTTTGTGCCACCCCCGTGGTCAAAAATGCCTTCGATCCAAGAACAAAGAGTCCGAATCCAGCGCCAACAGCAAGACATGCAACGCAAACCGGCCTGTGTCGGGCGTCACCCCGAAGAAAGATGGCACAAATGGCTTTGCCATGGCACTGCAAGCTTCCAATGGTGCATTCAAAAGTCAGCCGCTACAGAGTTTGCTCCGCTTGTCAAGTCAACTTGATGGCATCTAGACTGATTGGAACGCTGTTTTTGTGCGGGTCTTCTGTACCATGGATAGAATTGATACCAGACTTGAGACAAGCATGGAAATGGAAGGCACGCACCATCTGCGAGAAACATACCATAATTGAAGCAATGGCATTCACCCTTCAGAGCTGGCAAGGCAAATGGTGCATGTTTTGGACGCAAGGCTCTGGGTCTCGCTGTCTCACTGCCTCGCTGAATTGATTCGCACAAGCCCGCGCGCAATTCACTCACATTGAGTCAAGGTCCAAGAGCCAGGCTGTCCAAAGACCTCTCCCACAATCACCAGGATCAGTGCAATGCGGGGCCTGAGGCCTGCCCCAAACAAAATCACCGCAATCGACCGGACAACCGGACAACCGGCTTCGGCCTGCCTGGCGACTCGGCGCCTTCGGCCTGAACCACAAACTGGGACTGCATCAAATGGCCGCGTGACCCTTCGATTTGGGAAAAGTCTCCACAGTCCAAGAGAAACATCTCCATTGATCAATAGACCTGCCTTGATGAGCGAGGCAAGGCGACAGCATACGCGCCGCAGGCGCTGTAGCTGATACTGGATGTCATCCTCTGCGCACTGGAGAACTGCCGGAGTCAGAGGGGCCCAAAGCGGCACAGCAGTTTTGCCCAGCTCTCTTTGTTGAAGTCCCTCTCAATGGTTGCTTGCGTTCAAACACTAAAGGCATCCATGGGGATCCCTTATTTTCAACTTATTTCCCGCCAATCTCTGGCGACTGAATTCTGGGAAGGTGCTCAATTCAAGCAGCCTTTTGCTTCTCAGGCCACCGCTACTAAAGGCGTCTCCACAAACGCCAAAGAGGCAAAGGCCCACTCGATCGTGGAATCCAAACCTGGCCACGTTGCAGACTTTGCACTCTCTGAAGCTTGCTCGGCACTCATCCGTGCCAGCCTTCTGCATCCAAGCTAGCTTCGCTCTTTGCGCTCCTGGGCGTCGTATTTTGAGGGAACCCTCAAGAGTTGTTTATTTGGCTTCCCTGACCAACCCCAACAAGAGCACCATGAAAAGAAGACACGTTACACTGATTACACGTTTCCATTCAGGGGCCAAACGGCCCCTTTGAAGGCTCGGTTTTTCCGGGCTCGCCAAGCAGCTCGAAGTCTGCTTCAAGCTGATCGACAGCGACTACCTGGGACGTGGGTCTGCTCTGGACGTGGGGAAACCCAAAGGGTTCGGATTTATTTTGGGATTTTGGGATTGGTTTTCTTTCTGTCTTTCTTTCTTCGTCTTGGCCAGTAAATTGTCGTCAGCATGTTCTCACGAAATTTACGTTTTTTACACTCGCCCGTCAACATCCCCAGCATCACCAGCAAATCGTGGGGGAAAAAAAAAAAAAAAAAACTAAAACTAAAAGTAGCGGGCTGGGTCGAGAAAGCGATGATTCAAATAGGGGTGCAATTCAATCCCTAAAAAGTAGCGGGGGGTTGAGGGGAAGGCGGCAGCCGAAGAAGTGATGATTCAAATAGGGGTGCAATTACATCTCCGGGAAAAAACAAATAAACAATGTGAAATCTAAAAAGTAGCGGGGGCGTTGGGGGGGAGCGACGCCACCTGCCAGAGAGGAACTGGGAATGCAAAGGATGCCGAAAAGCCAAAGCCCAAACACCACCAAAAGCCGCATAAACCAACAAGAAGCCGAAAAGCCAAGGAGCCAAAAGCGGAAAAAATGCCGGCAAACTCAACAAAGAGACACATCCATACGGATCCGTCTCAAAATGTGATACCTTCTGAATGGCTGAGATCAGCGGCCAAGCCACCACCAGGTGGTTGATCCCCACAAAATCTTGCAGAGATAGCAGCTCAAAGTCAGGTCTATCCCTGGACACATGGCGGCGCCACTCCTTGAAACAAAATCAAGGGACAAACCCTCGATCCAATGCCGGCACTTACGGTTTCATGCCCCCATTTAATGTCAAGAGTTCCAGAGCCACACATGTGTCACTCAGAAACCCATCCTGAATCCTGGGTCAGTTAGGCTCCGCGAATCGATTCAGCTCCTCGTAGCTCAGGGACTTTGCATCGGCCCGGGAGTGGCTATGGCTTCGCAGCACGCGGAAAGCTGCGGCCGCGTCCTGCGCCCAGACCTCAAAAGAGCGACGTGATGCTCAGGTTTGCATCGCTTCTTCACGTGATTTGTCATGGAACCTGTGGACATGGCGCGCCTCGTTGTAGAAGTTTTCCGGCACCTCCGGCGCTTGGAACAGCGCCAGCAGGCCCCCTTGGCCGTCGCGGCCGGTGAGGGGGCCACCGACCTATCCGGTTGCAAACCGGGTAGATGGTGCGCCTTAGAATGGGGAACCCTTTAGTGAGGTGGACATCATTCAGGTGGGGATTCATGTCCACCCACCATTGACTGGGACTGTCTTGTGTTGAAGGTACCATTTCGGGGTGGTTTTATGAGAGGGGAACAAAAGGAACACCAACATCTTGGGGGTTCCCAAAAAAGCACTCTCACACACACACACACACACCATTTTGTAGATTTATTGGCCTTCTTCCTGGACTTGCGCTCCTTCACCTCGACGTCCATCACCTGCCAAACGGTGACCACGACAACACTCGTGCATGACGCCCGCGCCTGGGGACAATGAAGCCGTTCCCACTGGACTTGCCGCAGGTATTCATCGGCGTCCTTCCGGGACTCTGGCCATCATGCTGGAAAATATCCATGCGTTCTCCAAAAACCGTCCTTAGGCGGCGCCTCGCTGGGTGGAAGAGGGGCGCCAGAGACCGGCAAGCATGCCTCGACATGTCACAGGCCATGGCCATGGCCATGGCTTGGCCCGACCTCCTGCAAAATCTGCTGGTCTCTGTCAGCCTTCTCCTCGTCCACCTACATGCCAAGCCTCAAGACCCTCGCGGGGTTTCTCGGCGGCCTCTTCGTACTCCTCCCCCTGCGCCGCATATTTTCCGGAGTCGCCGACATCCTCTTCCTGAGCGAGGCCCGGGCCATTCCAAGAAGCGGTCGCTGCCGGGGCCTCGCTCTCCGCATCGTCATCCTCGAAAGCAGGTGCAATCCGTAGCATGCGAACTCAACATTGCCAGGTGTCAGGTAACGCGTCAAGGAAAACAACTTGAGATGCTAATTGGCAGTACAAGCAAGACACTTCGCAGTCCTGGCCCTGCACAATGATTTGAGGCGTCCGACGAGCTTTCATGGCGAGCAAACTGTCTGATTTCACCGAAATCACGAAAAGCGTGGCAAACATGCATTGAGAGCGATGGAAACAAGATGCGGTCAAAGGGGGGTGAGAGTCTGCCAAGCTGAGGCGCGGCCGGCCGGTTTTGATCCTAGTAGTAACTTTCAGTACAAAGAATCCTTTGCGTTCAATGATGCCGCCCCATGTACTCAACGTGTCCATTGATTCTCCGAGCCAACATGCCATGTTCATTAGCAAAGCTGAGACATCCTCCGTCGCGACCAAGTTCGCAAAACAACAATTCAGATGCTGCCAGTCTTTCACCCAATCACGGCGTGCATCCAGCGGCCTGAGGCACTTGGATGTACAAACTGATATTGTCAACATGCGGCAATGAGGTCAGCGAACGAGCCGCCGACTTTTTGCCACATCTGTTGAGTCGATCTGGCCTCTTCACTTCTCCTCGAAGCACATATTGGCAAGGCAATGCCGGGATTCCCAAAGGTTTCTGTTTGCAGCCCCACGCGTGTGGCTCCCGATCCTTTGAGCCTTCAGCAATGATAACGCCCGAGAAGTCATCCAACCGGCCATCCTGCAGGCTTGAGACGGCTCGTGACTCACAAATAGTATCAATTCGTCAATGGTGAATCACAGGAGTCGCTGGCCTCCACAGCTTTGTACTGCTCCCGAAGGATGCCAAGCTTCCTGGGCTTAGCGCTCGAGAAGTGAAAAAGCTTTGTAGAACGATGCCAAGCAACCTGTCAAT